CTGCACCCATCCCCCTGATTGACACAACCGAAACTATAAACAAAGTCAAAGGGCGAGTTACAAATCATAAAATGTGCTAGCTAGTATGCATTTTCTCGCTCAAGAGGCAACCTCGGCCTACAAAACTGTTTCACATTGATGTCGGTGGAAGTAGTGAGGTACAAACGCTAAAATGTGCTTGTTATTTATCCTTCTGTCCGTCACAGACATCCACTGTAAAGACAGGGGCCTTCTTTTTCCAAAGTGAAACTACCAAAACTATTTAAATACACCGAGTTAAAGACTGGGCTGCAATTTCTCAAATGAACTAGCTAGTTAGCATTTTATCATATTTTACCAAAATAAACCTAACGAATGAGTTGCTTTAGTGTGCCACAGAACAGTGAATGAGATGTCTCAGACCTCATAAAATATGCTTGGAGTTGAGCTTGCTGCACTTACGAACTTAAAAGTGCTGAATAGAAGCAGTCAAATGGCAAAGAGCAGCCAGTAAATGCTGTGCTGCTATTCGCGGTCCCAACAATCCCGCAAAGCTTTGAAGGCTTTGTGGACTTTGAGCCTTTACGGCGCCTGGGCAAGTGCGTCGTCCTATGTGAGCTGCTTCTTGTTTGCTGTTCCACCGGGAGATAGTGTGCGCACTCTGCAAGCGCCTTAAAAAACAAACAACAAAAAAAACGAACTTGTGGAACATTTTTTTGGGATTACTGGGAAACAAACACTTGAGATGATTATTATTTATTCCCTTTCCATGATTTAATTTGATACGATTGCATCCACGCTAAATTACTTGGTCTCTGTTAGTATTCTGATATTGTTGACTATTGTTGTTGTTATATACACTCTATATGTTGTGGTGGTTGTTTTTTTTGTTTTTTTTTTGGTCATGGTATAAATTGCATGATTTGTATGTATCATGTTTTTGTATTACTCATTGCAAGTTGTACTCATTTCTTTTTTTTCCTTTTTTATTTCAATAACAAAATGTCAATGCCCCCAATGACAGCCGAAAGGCCAGTTTCCATGTGGAACATGGCAATGTGCATTATTTTTGCTATTTTATTTGTATTTGTGTACAGTATTACTCGATTTTAAGCCATGTTTACGATGTTACTTTACAATTTTTGTGTTTTTTTTAGATTTTTTTTAATTGTATGTTCAACTTTTATGTATTTTTTTTAATTCTATTTAATCACGATCTATTTATTGCATTATATTCTCACCATTTTAAGATTAATGTTGAACTGCTTTTTCATCCATCCATTTTATGATCAGCTTATCCTCACAAGGGTTGTGGGGGGTGCCGGAACCTATGCCAGCGATCTTCGGGCAATAGGTGGGGGACACCGTGAACCGGTTGCCAGCCAATCGCAGAGACAAACAACCCTCCGCGCTCGCACTCACACCTAGGGACAATTTGGAGTGTTCAGCCTGCCATGCATGTTTTTGGAATGTGGGAGGAAACCGGAGAAAACCCACGCAGGCCCCGGGAGAACACGCAAACTCCACACAGGGAGGCCGGAGCTGGAATTGAACCCTACACCTCTGCACTGTGAGTTTGACGCGCTAACCACTGGACCACCAGGCTGCCCTCAAATGTTTTTCTGTGATGTATTTGTTTATCGGTTCCTTTTTGATGAATTTGTTATTTTGGTACATTGAGCAATTGATCGCTTGTGAGAAGACTCACTTCGGTGACCAAAAACGGTTCCTCCTCGGCTTTGAGATGTTGGGTACTGCAAGAGCTGTTTCACACACGGTTCAATCTGCTGCATTGGAGCGACATTAGCAAAGGAACAAACACTTCAGCCAAAGTGCTCACTTTCCTGTTGAATGTTGTGCGTCATAGAAGCGGATTGGAGCCAAAGCCCGGCAAACGTTTGCTCTCTCTGGGTTGGTAAAACTCAAAATTCCTGTTTGAGGGAGCACATACCGTCGAGCATGTTTTCAGTGTTTGTTTTCTCATGGCCGCCACCCGATACCACATGCTTTCGTCTCGATACAGATTCTTACAAAGAGTAAAAAAAAGCAAAGTGGAATGCTGTGACAAAAATATTATGGCCTACTTGCCACTGGATTTTTAGCTCATATCCCCAAGTAACAAAAAGGAGGTGACCCAAAAAAAAAATCAAAGGTCATAAAAGAAGGCGGAAACTACAAAAGGAGGTCAGGCATTTTCAACAGGCTTTCCTGAACACGAACATTGATTGTGTAACGCTGACTTAATATGGGCTTGATTTCCCGCTGAGCTAATCACACGGAGCAAAACAGTCATGAACGTGTCACAACAAAAACCTTTCGATGAGAAAATGTGTTCGCTTGATTGAAGATACATTAAAGACATTTGCAATTTTAGTTCCAGTTTCAAAGACGTGAGTAACTCTTTGAAACCATACAGTATCCTGATATTTGGCCAATGATATCAATAGTATCACAATATATAGATTGTGTGATACTACGCATCATCATATAGGAATTTCACGATCTGCCAATGTAAAGGATTGGGGTCCCCCCCCCACTCCCAGTGTTTTAGGAATGCTGATTAATTGACCATATAAATGGTATCATGATACAATTATGATACGGTGACGATCTATGATGCATCGTGATCAGCGAACGCGCTCAAGCAGGGCGCACACACACGCGCACACACACACACACACACACACACACACACACACACACACACACACACACACACACACACACACACACACAATAGTTTTAACACAAACAGTGCAGAATTTATTTTATGACTATTGTTTTAAACATTTCTCGGTGACAGTTGTATTTGGTGCTGAATATTTTAGCAATTTATTTTTGAATGCACGCAGCTTGTTTGGTGACTCGACCAGGAAAAACCCAAGTACAGTATGATGCAACACTTTGGAGTCCCCCTCCTCCCGAAAGCTCGCCTTACGTTCTTTTCGGTGAATCCCCCACACTACATTCAAGAACTGTTCCTGCATAACGAAACACCAAAGATTAAATAAACAGGATTTATTGACTTTTTATGTGGGTGGTCGATAAGAAAATAAAGCTTTTGGGAAGAGTGTCTGAAACTTGTAATGCGTTAGGGGGTCATCGCCTTGTCCAATCACACGCCGCAACGCCCGTGACGTCAGCTTCCTTTTCAGCCTATCAGGGATCACCACGATGGTAGAAAAATTGCCGACGCCGAGTCGCCCTCCTGTCAGAAGAAGTACCACCGCGATTCCAACAACAAAGGACGCCAGCTCGTGTGTATTTTTAGTTTCGTATTTATTTTTATTTTTCTTGGGGGGGGGAAGGGGTGATCAAAGACCGAGGATATCGTGAGAACATGGTGATGGTAACGGCAACGAGCGGGGGCGCCCAGAAACTGCTCCTGATCTCCGGGAAGCAGAGCGGCGGCGGCGGCGGCTCGACGGCGAGCTTCGGCCGCCCCATCTCGGTGGTCCTGCCGCCCTCCCCCAGCCAAGCGTCGTCGGACTCCGAGTCGAGCAGCTCGGCGGGACAGCCGGTCCGCAAAAGGCAGCGGCTCACACACTTGAGCCCCGAGGAAAAGGCGCTCAGAAGGTTCGCCTTGAATCTATGTACAGTAGTTTATCTTTTTGGTTTGATCGGTTGAATATGATTCGATATCGATTAAATCACACAAAATGGCGGTGACGTTTAACTCAAGCGTAATAAACTTGTCCATCTTGTTTCTTGCATTTTAATCATGCATTTACATTTTTTTCCCTTGTGCGGCAATCTTTTTTTTCAAACTTTCCTTGAAAGCCAGTTTTATTTATTGGCTTCCAACCTCCTGCGTGGTTTAGTGGGTAAACTGTCGTTAATTGTTTTATCTTCGTTTTTTTTTTAAATCGAGATTTGGCAGTTTGCTTCATTTGTGTTCGTACGGTGCTAACGACGCCGCAAAGAAGCGAAAAGGATTCGTTATTTCCCGAGATAGCAGAGCTGCCTTGAAGGCAAATGGCTGCTTGTATCAATTGGACTTTAAAACCTGCTTATCGGGCCGGAGTTGGACCCGCCCGGCAGGACGAGGACGTGCCTGCGTGGCAGGAACATGGCCGGTTGAGACGATTACGCGGCATCGCGGAAAGAATGCCCTCACTGAGCCTTATTTATTCCCCCCTCCTCCCCCTCCTCCTCGTCCTCCTGCCCCCACCTCACAGGAAACTGAAAAACCGAGTGGCAGCCCAGACCGCCAGGGACAGAAAAAAAGCCAAAATGGGCGAACTGGAGCAGCAGGTCCTGGAGTTGGAACTGGAGGTATTTTCTGATTGTGTTAGCCGGAATGCTGTCATTCAGTCTTTCCGTCTCAATTACCCGCTTGACTTTGGTGTGTTCCCAGTCTCCAGAGCAAGCAGGATAAACTTGTATTGCCGTGCGCGTGTGTCCAGAACAAAAAGCTTCACATTGAGAACCGGCTCCTGCGAGAAAAAAACAATGGGCTGCTGACTGAAAACGATGAGCTCAAGCTAAGACTTCGGCTGTACAGCCTCGACACAAAGGAGAAGGTGCGACTCTCTTTTTGGGGCGGGCGTCTTTGCGCCCGAGCGGCTTGGCGCTGCAAACAACAAATTGATCCCTCCCCCTCCCCCGGTTCAGGTGTCGGTGTCGAATGGGATGTCGAATGGGAAAGAAGCAGGTTTGGGACTCGGGTCTTCTGAGTCCGCAGCACTCAGGCTACGTGTGCCTCTGCAGCAGGTGCAGACCCAGCAGTCCCAAAACCTGAAAACTTCCCAATGGATACAGATGGTCCTGATGCTGCAGACAATGAGGTAGGGGCGCCGAGCACCTCCGATCACGGTCAAAGGTTCCGCTGGGGCATCTTTTATCATGGAAACCCGACCAAACACTGAACAGTTTCCCCTAATACGACGACCCTTTTAAAAAAAAAACTGTGGCGAGCATTCTGACCGACCTTTGCAAGCCCGCACAAGCTCCCAAAGGAGAGAGATTAGACTCTCTTCTTTCATCACCCAAAAGTTTTTCTACCTTAGTCCATTTTTATGAACATTTTGAATTTAAAAAAAATTCAGAAAACAAGCTTTTTTTTTTTGTTTTTTTTTTTTTTACTCTGCTAAATTTTTGCTCTAGTGACACCTCAAACACGTTAAGAGCCTTTGGCGTCTTTAAAATACCAACAAGAATGAACAGGTGCTTTTGATATTGAATATGCAATGAATCACCAGTCAAAGAAATTGACCAACTATTTGCACGCATTTCGGAGTAGCAGCATCGTGCGCGTGTCCACACGTACGTACGTTACGTCATCTCTTCTACCTGGACATGAAAACGTTCGCTACCTTTTCTCTTTCGTGGTCGATTTAAGGCGACAAACACTTGGCTCAATGGCCAGCGTCGCCGAGTGTCTGCCCCGTACGCGTCGTGATGACGCGTACGGTGAGCTCATCCAAAAGAGATCAATGCTGCCCTCTGCTGGCCATATGTAACGATCATCGGTTTTTCTTGGGAGCCTTTTTTAAAAGGGTTGCACGAGCTCAGAACACGGGAGTAAATTCATCTTGTCAGTCAAGGTACAACTGTAGCAGGGTTCCCCCGCTCTCCAGATTTACGCAAAGAAATGCGAGTCCACTGGCCATCCGTGATGAAAGTAATTTGCAAATCCAATGTTGGCCATTCTGTCATTTGGAAACGGAAGCCACATTTGACCACAGCGGCAAGTAGATGTGGTTGACTTAGGTTTTGCTAAGGTTACTCTCTGCAACGAGGTGAGAGTTCACCAGGCTAATCCCCCCCCGCCCCCCTTTTTTTTTTGTGCCCCCCTCGCCAGTCTGATCTGCTGTTGGGCATTCTGGACATCCTTGACCCGGAGCTTTTCCTTAAGTCCTGCGAGGAGCCGCCGGTGCTCCTGGTCGGCGGCGGGGAGCCAGTACCTGCCGCCGCACCTGCGCCTCTGGGGCCCCCATCAATTAAGCTGGAGACCCTTAATGGACTGATCCACTTGGATCACATTTACACCAAGCCGGCAGAGGTGGCCGCGGAAGACGCCAAGGAAAGCGACGACGGCGCGCTGGCTTTCCTTCCCGTCGCCGAGGTGGTGGTGGAGGACGAGGAGGACGTCTGCGTCAAAGACGAGCCGGAGGAAGTGCTCATCCCCAGACAGATGGACGACTTCCTCTGCGTGCCCGCAGCCGCCGCCTCCTCCACCTCCAGCTCGCCCGCCCTCAGTGGCGCCGACAAGGAAGCCTGCCCGGCGGACGCCCACAGCGACTCTGGATACGAGGGCCCCCCGTCCCCCTTCAGCGACATGTCGTCCCCGCTGTGCTCCGACAGCCCCTGGGACGACATGTTTGCCAACGAACTCTTCCCCCAGCTCATTAGCGTTTGAACACTCTCGCCATTCGCCCCGAAAATTGATCCGACCTACCGCCGGAGGCGAGCCCGAACCTCCGTTGTTACAATCGTGTGAATTTCCGCTTTTCTGTGTGTGCGCGCGCGCGTGTTCATTGTCCAATCGAAAGTGCTGAAAATGGCCGGCGCTCTTTGACGATGCACCGCAGATTGGGAAACAAACGTGCCGTTCTTTTGGGGGGAGTCTCCTGAAAAGCGACAATTTAGGAAGCGCGCTCGACGCCAGCGCTGATATCGGCGCTAACGTGTAAGCCTCACCTGTTGGTATTTGTGGCCAAGCGCACGATGGAGCTCCCTTTCACTTTACAGCAGGTCTGTAGCGCTCGCCATGCCGCAATGGCTCGTGGGAGATGGAGTTTGCTTCAAGTATTGAAAAGTGGACTGGGGAAAGATGGAAAGAAAATGGGGGGGGGGGTCCCATTTAAATAGGAAATACTATTTATTTGTGTCATCTGATTTTGGGTCGCTGTATGTCTGCCTGTATGCAAATGTTGACCGCTTTCCTTGTAGTCTTACTGCATTAAAAAAAAACCTCTGCATTGCAATTTTTGTCTGGTTTCATATTTTGAAGCACAGGCTTGCATGACGGGACTTTTATTCATCGAAATGTTGACGTTCCCAAATGTCAACTCTTAGTCACTTAGGCCCAGCGTATTGTGGCGTCATGCGGTTGTCCTGTGCCGCCTGGAAGGAAAGACTATTTTCCCGCCAAGTCATCTTCGGAGTGCAAAAGACATCCAGCGCTCACCTTGACCAATGTTTTTTCTCAAGCAAATGAAAGACGTCGGCTGTACTTCAAAGTTCTGCGACTTTGAATCCAAATCTGGTCTCACGAACTTCAACTTGCACTGTCAACTGATACAAAAGGGGCCACGTTAGCAGTCTTGCGTAAGTCACTTCTGGGAAGGAAGCCTGCTGTGCTGGTGTTGCGTAACAAGCCACGTCAGAAGCTCCAGTTGAAAGCGAAAAAAAAAATGGATCAGCTCCAGTATCGTCGCGGCAACTTTCAACTAACTTTAACCTTTGGGGAGGTTCCCTCCCTCCTTTTGTCCTCTGGGGGTGGGCCGTCCACATGTTTGCGGTCCCCCCCCCAGGGATGGATCATCTGTGATAAGCTGGTGAAAAATGAAGGGGCTCTTCGCAATCGCTTTGTCACGTAAAATGCTGCATTTTCCTTTGGATTTTGTTACGTGAGTAGAATTTAGTGTCACCTAGTGGTAGGCTCAGAGAATGCAACGAAATAAGCTCAAAGTGCTACTACGGTGCCTGCCACCAACATGTTCAAGCTTTTTTTTTACACAATGAATTAACATTGAATAACCAAAACATTCGACACACTGTCCTTTTCACCATTTTTTTCCAGTTCTAGTTTTCATGAACGGCCATGACTTGACGCAAACTACCTTTGTTTCGTGTGAGACCTCTGTGTTGTGGGTTTATTTTCCGGGTAACTCAAAGGAAGCCGCAGAACTTCTGCTTTCGAGAAACTCTCTCAGTTCCTATTTAGGTCGTGCGAGTGAAACCGAAACATCTGCAGCTCTTCAGAAGTCACCCCTGCGGGACCAAGGGCTGATTTGTCACTTCTCGGTATGTGATTGAGTGAGCAGTCTCATTCGAGACTGGTGAGCTACGTATTACTTTTCTCAGCACACGTTGGTTTTGCGCTTAATCATTCCCCATTTTTTTCTGGAGGACCTCACAAATAAGTCTTGACTGAAAAACTCACCTACGCGCAGCCTTATTTTGGTGCTCATAATTCATGAGGGTTAGTGAGCAAGACGGCTGGCATGTGCGGCGACCCCACACTTCCTCAAAAAAGCAAGGTGAAGGGAGTCCTTCCTTTTTGTCTTTGTCAATTCATATTAGACATGTGCTTTCGACATGGATTTTAAATGCCGTGAATGTATGCAAAGGAGTCGCAAATGGCTTTCGGCTACTTTGCAACGTGGATCTGAATCGAAGGAATGTGTTGGGGGGGGGCGATAGGACTGATTCATTTTAAGGAGATAACTGTAGACCAGATGGTGTGCTGGTCAGAGCACAGGTAGGAAGAGACAGGAATTCCAGGGGGTGTTTCAATAATTCTTTACTGGGGGTGTAAAATGAATACGGGGAAATACAAACAATAGGGTGGTGTTGATTGAGGAGGGATCGAAGGATGAAGAGGGATCGAGTAGAGGTTTCGGTGATTGAAAAGGGGGGGGGGTCGATGAATGGAGAGGAATCGAGTCTCCAAGTGTGAGGAAAGGAAACTTCAATGTTATAACATAACATTCATATTCCTGGATGGAACCAAGGAATAACAAATCAACTGCAGGGTAATGGCACCATCTAGGGGCCACATGAATTAACTACACTTACAGGTAATGAAACTAAGGCCGACACACATTTGTAAACAAAATACACTGTCGTCTTCAGAACAGGAAGGAGCTACAGACATCGCACCATTAACACAACTTAACATAAAATTATAAACGATGCCACGGTATTAGCAGGTAATCGTCGCGAAACGCGGCGGCCCGATGCTAACGCGCTAACGTGGCTAACACTCGCGAACACGGTGGCCCGATGCTCGTGTGCTAATGCGGCTAACACTCGCGAACGTGGCGGTGCTAACGTGCTAATGCGGCTAGCATACTCGCGAACACCAGTCGCAACTAATTAAACAGGACAAATACACCACATTGTACTCACGTTTGTTCATGTACTCGAGGGCTTAGGGAATCGCCGATGAGGTAAACGGCACAAAGGATTTGAAAGGACAAAGGCTGAAATCGATAAGAACGGAATGACCTTGGTCAGGACGCAAACCCGGAACTGGCAGGTAGTGAAATAACGCGATACTTACAAGCGTCAACACGAACGTCTCGCGATAAACAAGGGAACGAGCTGAGCCTTTTCTACGGAATGCTTCGGCCCCGCTGTGAGCAAAGAGAAGTGCCGGTCGGCGGCCCGGCTCTTTCGGGATCGGCGACGCGCCGGCGTTTTGCGTGGAGCCGGTGTGACAAGTCGCGGCGAACCCGAGCGAGCTGACTTTTGTCACGCCGACACGATAAGCGAGCGCGCACGCGAACAGAAAGCGGCTAGCCGGTCCCATTTGGTTGCGCTTGAGTGGCGGAACGGACGACTCCCGAGCGCGGGAGTTTGACCTCTGCGCAAACAGTTGCGTTTGGTTTCGCGCCGCTTCAGCCTGTCGGATGAGAGAGCAAGTCAATATTGGAGTTGGTCTCGAAAGGGGTGCAAAGAAGAGAGTTTCCAAAGAGCGCGACGACCTCACACCACTTCAGGCTTCACCTCAGCGCATCTGACTAAAGTCAAATTTCTTCAAAATGGACGTTTGTATCATTTGGTTGAATGTTTTGGGGTTTTTTTTTCCAGAATGATCCGATTTGTTATTATTTTGATGTTTTCGGATATTTGTGGATTTTGTTTCATATTTCTCTATTTTTCATCTGCATTTTTTTGGGATCTTACAGATTTTTTTTTTCAGATTGATGTGCATTTTTCATCTAATAACTGCTTCTTTTTTTTTGGGGGGGGGGCATTGGTCCAGGTCAAATGTGCAGCATATGTGGCGCATGTTTTCGGCACGTGGCACCACCCTGAGCAAAAGTTGTCACACCGTCAGCCATGTTTCTTACCTGTGTGAAGCTCGAATCGCAAATCAAGCATTAAACTTCACACGAGTTATTTTCATGCTTGAGAGTCGGACACGCTAGGCCACGAAGGTCTCTGAAGGCGATCGGATGAGCACGTTTGCGAGTCGGTTCACGAGAGTAGTTTCCCGCCGTCGTGCGTTTTCATGTGCGCCGCCATGTTTGCCTCGACGCAGAACCTCCTGCCGCACACAGCGCAGGCGAAGGCTTTCCCCCCCGTGTGTATCTGCGCGTGCGTCGCCATGGAGGCCTCTTGAGAGAAGGTTTTGCCGCAAAACGAGCAGGTGAAGGTTTGCTCCAAGGCGTGCGCTTTCATGTGCCATTCCAACGTCACCTTCTGAGCGAAGCGCTTCTCGCAAACGGAACAACGATAGGAGTCCTCTCTGTGCGTGCGCATGTGATCGCTGACGTTTTTCTCGCAGGAAAAGATTTTGCCGCAAACCGGGCAGACGAAAGGTTTGCCGGCGGCGTGCGTGACCCGGTGCGCCGCCAAAGCCGCCTTGGAACTAAACCTTTGGCAGCAAACGAAGCAGCTCAAGGGGTTACCCCCCCTGTGTTTCCTCATGTGCGCCACCAGGTGAATCTGTCGAGAGGCTCTGTGACCGCAAACTGAGCAGCTCAAGGATTTCTCCCCGGCGCGGGTGCTCACGTGCGACTGGCCGCGCGGCGTCGGACTCTGATGCTCAAGCGGGGACCAGTCGGGCGATTTGTCGTCATCTTCGCTCTTCGCCGCGGCGCCGGTCAGCAGCATGTTGCTGATGCTGGACTCCTCCTCCTCCTCTTCCTCCTCTTCCTGCTTAATGCGGCGAAGCCGGACATGCGCCAAACTGGAGCTTCCCTCCAGTTCTTCTGTGGGAGTAAGTCACATCGTCTCAAGCCTGAAAGGGGAAGCCGAGTCCAAAAATGTCTCGACAATTGTGTGTTATGATTAATATTGGCTTTGTGGAATATGGATTATAGGCAGAAAAGAGAATCCGTTTTCATGCATCGCTCGACGGCGTGGCTGCCATTTTCTCCAACTGCGCGCTGCCACTTGAAAATGACATCACGGGGCCTACTGACATCTGCAAGCTGAACCCTTGGGCGCTAGCCGTGATGTCATGGTCACTGTGTGAATATCTGAGCTTTTTTTTTTCCAAACAGAGTCAAAAAGTCAAAAAAATGGTTTTCTTCTCTGCCCTCGCTTACTTTGTGCATATGGATTTTGTTTTTTTTACAGTGTAGAGTGAGATACGAAACGGAACCATTCTCCATCAGTGAAAAATGTATTCATATGTTTGTTTGTTTTTTTTAATTGTGTGTAATATTTCAAGTGGTATGAAGGTAACTTTTGCGTTACAATAATGCGTGCCATGTCGATGTAAGTGACTCAATCACATGATTTTGTGTTGATAACGAAGTGTTGTTGTTTTGTTTTTTTCTCCTCTCACCTTCGCTGTCCGTCCCGCTCCTCAAAAGTTCTTCAATGTCGTCGCTGTCGGACAGCGGAGCGAAGAGGTGGTCTCCTTGCGGAACGGCGCCGCGGAGTCCTTTGGTCTCTGTCATCACGTGTTGCAACTCGCGGGGTCCTTCATCACTTTTCGTGGGGACAGCCGTCGCCTCGTCCTCCTCTTTAACTTGGAGGGGCTGCGTGTGCTCCACATCGGCGGGGGTCCCCTGCAGCTGAGGGGGAAGTTGTTGTGCTTGGTGACCCATCAGCCCCTGCGCGTCTGCGGGACACGTGCGACAAGACAACGGTTGTGTGAACATGTGGCACAGATGGCAAGATGTGGCCTCCAAAGGCAGCAGGTGATGAGAACATTTGCCTCACACTTCTGAGAGGCTTCGGCGTTCAAATTTTGGCTCGTTTGCATTTTATTTTATTCATTTTTTTGGTTCACTTTAGACTCCAAATTGCCCACAGATGTGATTCCCTGTTTGTCTCGAATCAAGACGAGGATTATTGAACAAAAAAGGAATTTACTGAAATTTTTTCGGAGTGTTAATTGTCCTTGTGACTTTCCAAGAACGCTTCAAAGAAACTAAATTGCCTCCAACTTCGGGAGAAACGTGTAAGCATGCGAACACACCTGGGACGTGCAACACCAGTTGCGTCTTGGAAAAAGCTTCCAGTTGTCGTCGTTGCCGCTCGCTCTCCTCTCTCGCTCGACGAAGTTGCTCCTCGTACGACGCGATTGTTTTCTCAAAAAGTCCGAAGATTTCGTCGGCGGCCGCAAGCAGTCGCTCCCTCACCAAATCTTTCAACATTTGGACGATTTTCAATTCCCGCTTCGATACGTTCGATCAACCTCGTCGTACTCACGCGTCTATTTCAATGCCTTCTTCTTCTGTGGTGGTGGTGGTTCTACAATCGTCGAGTGGAGATCACGTCACACGCGGCCGCCATCTTGAAGCGGTATTGACGACGATGCAGATGGACATGCTGGCCGCGTGGCTCTCCGATCCATTTAAAATTGTAAAAATAATAACATTACAAGACACCAAAGCCCAAACTCAGTGGTGGACACCAGGAGTGAGAGTTGCCGCCAAGTTGAAGGAGTCCAATTGGCTGTTTTTTAATCTTTGGAGCCCTGGAGGCAGCAGATGGGTACCGGCAAGCCAAGCAGAATGCAGCTGTGGTCAAAAAGCTTCTCGGTGGCAGAGATCCAGGAGTGGATGAGATCCCCCCTGGAGTTCCAAAAGGCTCGGAATGTTGTAGGCGGTTGCGGTTGACCGGAAAACATCTCCCAACAAGGAGAGCACAGTCCCCAGCCTCGCCGCTAAAGTCTTTATGATAGGTTGCTGGAGAAAAGTTTCCATTGGGAGGTCCAATCTCAGATTCAGGAGTCCTGTGGTGCCCCCCTCACACACAACCATTTCAATGTAAATATTACAACAGTACAATCAAATACCAAACATTGTCGTTTTATTGATTCTAAAAGATAACATTGCATTTGGTGTACATTGATCACAATGATCGCGACACAGAGCAGGAACACACGACAGCAGCCTGCGTCTCTCTTCACTGCGACGAAGGTCAGTGGCGACTCAGTGACGTCAGCCTCCTCCTGTTCCTGCCTCACGTCAGGGGGTTGCTGTTCTTCTTGAAGGTTTGGGGGGGCTGAGGATCCTCACGCTTCACACTGCAGCCCTCCCCAAGTTAAATGATGTGCAGGACAATCATTTAAGTGTAGCTCAATAATATTAACATTTTGCGTGGATTGGTTTATGTGAGAAAAAAAAAGTGCTTGGCAGTTTTGTACCATCCTTGAATGATAATTTTTCTGCAAGAGCCGTTTGCACTGGAACAAAAAACAAAACCATCTGGTTATTTTGTTGTTTGCTTCAAACCCTATGTTGTTGGGTGAAGAAAGTGACTCTTTTATACATGCACTGAAATTTGATATTTATATTAAGAGCACGGATTTTCCACATATATTAAAAAAAAAAAAACATCACGCAGTACATCTGTTCAGAAAGTGTGTGTGGTCTTATTTGGCCCCCATTAGCACGGATGAAAAATTGTGGTCGCCTCCAGCAGTTAAATTGCCCATTCTTGGACCAAAAAATGTGCAGTATACTAAAAAAAAAAAAAAAAATGCTGCACACGTTTTATACTACTTTTATACCATCACATGCAACAAAACTTTTTATTTTTTAACAAGTGTGATACAACATGAATAACCTGTGCTCAGGTCAATTCCTCATCAAGTGAGCAACCACCGCTACTACTTTCTTCCTTGTGTCTCCGTACGTGTGCGTTCAAGTTACTCTTGTACGCAAAGCTTTTCCCGCAAAGTGAGCACGCGAACAATTTCTCTCCGGTGTGGGCTGCTGTGTGCGCGATCAAAGCCACCTTGAGGACAAATCCTTCGCCGCAAATGGAGCAGCTGAAAGGTTTTTCTCCCGTGTGCGACTGCATGTGCACGTTCAAATTGCTCTTGTGGGAGAAGCGCTTCCCGCAAACGGAGCAACCGAAAGGTTTTTCCCCGGTGTGCACCCTCATGTGCGTCACCATGGTGGGCTTTTGTGAAAAGGTTTTGCCGCAAAATGAGCAGGTGAAGGGTCTTTCGCCCGTGTGCGTTCGCATGTGCGTCACCATGTTTGCTTTCTGAGTGAACCTCTTCCCGCAAACGGAGCAACTGAAGGTTTTCTCCTTGTGCGTGCTCATGTGATCGTTCAAGTTACTCCTGTAGGAGTAATTTTTCCCGCAAACGGAGCACGTGAAAGGTTTCTCTCCGGTGTGCGTCCTCATGTGCGTCACCATGTTGACCTTTTGGGTGAATCGTTTATGGCACACCGAGCAACCGAAGGGTTTCTCCCCACTGTGCGTTCGCATGTGAATGGTCAACTGGCACTTGTAAGAATAGATGTTTCCGCATAGCGAGCAGGCAAAGTGTTCTTTAGGTTTGCCGTCGCCTTGGCAGTGTGCTTTGCTCCTTGAAGCTTCTTCTCTGTTGTCACTGAGTGGCGGCGGCGGTGCTAAAAGTTTGTCTGATGGTGGACCTCCACTTGGACAGCGATGATGAAATTCAGACTTCTCGGGTGGTTCGTCTTTGTCGTCTTCGTTCTTCACGATAATGACAGTTAGTGCCTCCCCCTCCTCCTCCTTCACACGGAGGGGCTGTGGAGCCTCCTCTTCCTCTTCTTTTACCTGGGGGGCCCTTGGACCTTCCGGTTCCAAACGGGAGCTGACGCCTTGAAGTTCTTCTTGATCAGCAATCAGCTGCTGGACATCTGCAAGTCGCAAACAACACAATCACGAAATGTGATTTTTTTTTTTTGTTGCACCTAACACCATTGTGATTCGCAATCCATGGAGACGTTTTGGCTTCAGGTGACATTCTGTGCAGGCGTAACCCGACTGTCATGTCGTTTCATTTGGTTCCTTGTCGGTGTTTTGGTGCGAGTGACCGCTTCTTCTGCAAGTCGAGCACACCAGAATGAGCAGCACAATGGCCTCGTGACGCACAAACCCGTTTTGTTGTTTTTACAATCTATTTCAGCTTTTATGAAGCAAAACGCTGCAAAGTGCCATTTTTGGGATTACAAATTTTTCGTTCGTGTTTTGGGTGAATTTCAGGGCATTTCAATAGGAAATTAAACTTAATGCTATAGCGCCACCGCTTGCTTGGTTTTGCTTGTAGGCGCGCGCCTTTGAGACGATTCCAGAACATTCTGCAATCACCGTTAACTTTGAATGTATTGGTTAAAGCTTAATGATTGGTTCAATTTTGGACAACATACCATCGCCGAGGAGCACAACGCCTGTCTTGCGAACAGCCTCCAGTTCTCGTCGTTGTCGCTCGTTCTCTTCTTTTTTTCGGCAAAGTTCCTCCTCGTACGCCGCGATTGTTTTTTCAAACAACGTGAAAATGTCGTCAGCAGCGGCAATGAGTCTCTCCCTTACCAAGTCTTTCAACATTTTGATGATTTTTTTTCCATTCGATTTCGCTTCGCTTATTTTGGTTCCGTCTTGGGCCGACCCACACTTCCGCTTTTTTTTCTTCTTCGGTGGTGGTTTTACGCTGCCGCGTGTGCGTGGCGTACAACGCGCGCCCTCTAGTGGCGTTACTTATCACCACTAGCTCATGAACCTGAGGGAGAGATTTTGTGTGTATTTGCAAATATGAACAATACAAACGTAAAATGTGAATTTTGATGGTACATGTAGACGAACCCCTCCACAGACAGTTAAGAATCAAAGAAAATGAAACAGTAAGATCTGAAAAGGCAACAGAAAAAAAATCATCACCACCACGTGTGACGGAAAACAAAACTGCTAAGCATAACATACAATACATCAGGGGTCCCCAACCGCCGGTCCGCGGACCGGTACCGGTCCGCAGGGCATTTGGTACCGGGCCGCACAGGAAGAACTTGCCTTATTTCTGTTTTATTTATTTCGGAACACGAAAGATGTTTTATTTTGAAAAATTACCGGATTCTCTTTTACATCCGTCTGTGTCACGCTTGACTCACGTCAAGCCACACTTCTCGGTCACGTGACCAATGACGCTTAAAAACAAAACACTAAAGCCCGCAAAATGAGTAAAAATGCTGCTGGCGACTAAAACAAAATTACGAAGTAGACTGGACATAAACCACACACTTGAGGTGTCATTGTCTCCTATTACCCCGAGATGGGACTGTCTGATTGCAGAAAATCAAGCTCGGGGCTGTGGTGAGTCGTCATTTTCATGCACTTTGAATTTGCGTTGTATCGTATTTTGAAGGCATTAAACATTACCAGAGCGATAAGAGTGTTGCGACCAGATTAGACGCTACTTGTGTTTATTATTATATTTCGAAAACACCACAGTTTTCATGCAGCTCATACCATATTATTTTGTTGTATTAATTCGCCACACCTTAAATGCCGGTCCCTGAAAATATTGTCTGACTTTAACCGGTCCGTGGGGCAAAAAAGGTTGGGGACCCCTGCAATACATCCTGATTTCTCATGTATGAGAACTTTACTAAACATCAAAAATACACAGCCACAGTATTATACCTTTACACAGCACCACAGTCGATTTGAAATACAACCTTCAGTTTGAATTTAAAACATCTGGAGTGTCATTTCGTCCCGCGTGTGATCTCTTGTGTTTCATCATGTTCACCTTCCGCGTGAACCTCTGACCACAAACGGAGCAGCTAAAAGGTTTTTCCCCGCTGTGCGTTCTCATGTGCAACACCATAATGGACTTGAGGTAGAATCTTTTGTCACAAACTGAACAACTGAAGGACTTTTCCTCTTTGTGCGTGCGCATGTGGATATTCAAGTTGCTCTTATACGAAAAGGTTTTCCCGCACGCAGAGCATGAGAACGACTTCTCTCCAGTGTGCGTCGTCATGTGGGCAATCAGAGCGACTTTCTGAATGAAGCCTTCGCCGCACACCGAGCAACTGAAGGGCTTCTCGGTGTTGTGCGACTGCATGTGCGCATTCAGACTGCTCTGGTAAGAGTAGCTCCTACCGCACACGGCGCAAGCGAACAACTTCTTCCCGGTGTGGGTGGCGGCGTGCGCGATCAGCGCCACCTTGCGGACGAATTTGGCGCTGCAGATGGAGCAAGCGAAGGGTTTTTCTCCGGTGTGCGTCTGCGTGTGGCGCGTCAAGCTGCACTTGTACGCGTAGCTCTTGCCGCAGACGGAGCAGCTGAATCGTCCTTTGCCCGTCCCCCTGTCTGAGAGCTGGTCGTCGTCTGGATCGATGGAATCTTCAATGTCGCAACGTGACAGCGGGGGTCCTCTGCAGTGGTCTCCACTCGGGCTGCGGCGACCAAGCTGTGACGACTCGGGTGGTTCGTCTTCATTGTCTTCACCCTTCACCACCACCACGGTCAGCGGGAACTCATCCTCTTCATCTTTGACATTGGGGGGCTGTGCCTCGCCATCCTTAACATGAGGGGGCTGTGGATCTTCAACTTCCTCTTTGACTGGACAAGCAATCCGCTGCTGGGCATCTGCAGCACACAAGCAAGTCAAGTTTAAAAAAAAAAAAAAAAAAAAAAAACAGAAGAACAATGTGCCTCTTTACAAGATTGCCTTTCGTCTTTGGTCTCTTCTATGTCACCTCAAAATGTGTGGCTGCTGATATGAGAATGGTGTGGACCTGTCCAAGGTATTAGCGTTAAGCTAGCTGTGACGACTCGGGTGGTTCGTCTTCATTGTCTTCACCCTTCACCACCACCACGGTCAGCGGGAACTCATCCTCTTCATCTTTGACATTGGGGGGCTGTGCCTCGCCATCCTTAACATGAGGGGGCTGTGGATCTTCAACTTCCTCTTTGACTGGACAAGCAATCCGCTGCTGGGCATCTGCAGCACACAAGCAAGTCAAGTTTAAAAAAAAAAAAAAAAAAAACATCCAAATATTGTGAACAACTAGAAAGTTGCTATAGAATCGAAATAGAATGTCATCCGCATAGCAGTGGAAGGCGAACGCAGCGTTTTCTTGGAATGGAACCAAAGGGCAGAAAATACAGTGAAAACAGCAGAGGCCCCAAGAGAGAACCCTGTGGAACACCGTACCACAGAGGGCCAGAGCGGGACTCAGAGCAACCTAGGCTATCACAAAATGTTCAGTCAGACAAACAGGACCCAAACCACTCAAGGGTGCTGCCACTAATGCCCACCCGGTGCTGCAAATGAGCCAGCAGAATACTGCGGTCCGCCGTCTCGAACGCTGCAGTTAGATGCAACAAAACAAGACACAACGTGGTCTCCAGTGTCATTTGCTCGGAGGATATCATTTCAAAGTTTGTAACAGAGGGGTATCGTGGAATCCCTAAACGACATTATTTTGCATGACATCTCTTTTTCCTTGACGGAGTTTAAATCCCGAGTTGTGGCAATATTTTCACTGTAAGAAACCACAAAGTTATGACGATCAACTCCTCGAGTGAAAGACAAGAAACTGCATCGGGCGGGTGCACACAACTCAGTACGGCGTTAACACGACAGCTACTGCTACACAAATTCCAAACGAGAGGGATGAACATAACAGCTATTACGCGTTGCTTCACCAAGTGCCAAGAGAAAAAGACGCGATTGTGCGATCACGCGCAGCAGCCTATTCGGGTCAACTCCCATGACAGCCCATCAGCAGTTCACCTCGCATGTGGAGCAAATATCTTCAATTGCTGTTGACTTGCAGGCATTTTCCGCGTGATAGAATCGCAACAGAACAGATACAATCACGCGGTACGAGGTCATTTTAAGTTCTGTACGCGCGGCAACACCTAGTAGCTAATTGTATTGCGTGCGCGTTTGCACAGTACAATCTCGCCAAGAAAATATGTCCACCACAGTAGTGAAACGTTCATATTTCTACACGTCTAATAAGAAATGCCAAACGCGCGAAACGACGAAGCGGAAGGCAAGTAGAAACGTTTACCTTCGATGTGTAGCACAATTCGAGTCTTGGAAACAGCATCCGGATGTCGTTGTTTTCCTTCGCTCTCCTCTCTCGGGACACAAAGTTCTTCATCGTCCAACTCTTTCCACATTTTGAAGGAGTTATGAATCAAATCGTTTGGTAAATGACACCGAAGCTCCGCGATTTGGCCGCTTGTATCAAATCACGAATGTCGCTCGACCGATGACGTGACAACGTTTCGCCACGCCATTTGCATTTCAACGGCCAATCAATGTTCTGCTAATACTACACCGCACGAGACTCAAAAAGAACTAGGGAGATAAATCAGCGAAACATCTGTTCACGCCGCCGAAAAAAAAGCCGAAAAGCAGCACTGCGCATGCGTACAACACAAGCTGCTCTCTTGGACACCTACAGCGCGCCTTCGGGGACAAAATACACGAAAACTTTGAAGCGTTAGCTTCAAACACCTTCTTAAAACACTAAAAAACACACGTTAGATGTGTAACAGAACTGTACATTCCCCCCCCCCCAAAATACTGGTGCAAGCATCAGAACCTTTTTGTGGTCGCTATGTAGCGAAATATATTACGAGAATTGAGCTTTCCATAAAGGGGAATTCGACTCAAAACATTTCTTTACAATGTATTCTATGCTACCCTAGAACTCTACATACGGAATTGTGATGTAGCATTGGTGAAATATGGGTGAAACTGCAAAATTCTGCTGTTTTTGTCCATCTCATGAGGCGGCTACTTTACCACTTGCTGTCGACTGAAAATGACATCACAGTTGCTCAGGTAACACACCAATCACGGCTCAACTTCAGAAAACTGCCGAGCCGTGATTGGTCGTTACCTGAGCAACTGTGGTGTCATTTTCAGTTGAAAGTGGGAAAATACCCCCCACCCCCACCCCTTGAATTCATATAAATGATTGAGTACAGAACGTCAACAGGACTAATCCAAGTCACTTCAATGGAACTGAGCTTGAACTCTTTATTCAGAAAAGCACTCATCTCATTCAAATTTCAGAATCTGGCTTTTACAGACACAGTCTGCCCAATGGTATGTAACAGGGTGTAATACATATATTGGTAGTTAACACTCTCATGCAAAACATGAGAGGATAAGGCGGGGGTCTGTGTATGGTTTATGTCAATGGGAAAAACATCCGACAGTGACCCACCGCCATTTTGCAGGGATATTGCTGATGACTCGATAGTAGGCAGGAGAGGAAGACAAATAGCTGCCAAGGAGGCAGAATTGTCCGGGGAGAAAAGAAAGCATTGAAAATATGAATCATGGGGGCACATTTACTAGATATACTACCTTTGTCTCCTTCGCATGTGACATTCACATTTCGCAAACACGGCGCTGGGCCCATACGTAACGTGGACAGAGAGAGTTTGACACCCGTACCACAGCTCATCGCTCTCTAGGTGAAGCCCGAACACGCCACAAACGGGAGGAAATCACTACCAGTGAACGAAAATGTAGCGGCGGCCATCAGGACGAGGAATCAGCTGTGCGATGAAGAGGACAACATGCCGTGTCCCGCTCCACGCCACACGAAGCATTTCTAGCTCTTCAAATCAAATTTCTTCAAAAGAATACGCAGGCCGCTTTGGGTTAAGGCATGTGGCCTCACTCAGCAGTGTCCCCACATGTGTGTCGTCAAACTGTTCTTATGAGCGTAGCTTTTACCACAAACGGTGCAGCTAAAGGGTTTTTCCCCAGTGTGCGTTCTCATGTGGGTGGCCAGATGTGTCTTTTGAGAGAACGTTCGCTCACACATGGAGCAACCGAAGGGTTTTTCTCCCGTGTGCGTCCTCATGTGCAAGTTGACATAATCCTTTGACGCAAATGTTTTCCCGCACACGGAGCAGCGGTAGGGTTTCTCTCCGGTGTGTATTCTCACGTGCGTGATCACGTGGGACTTGTGCGAGAATGTTTTATTGCAGAAGGTGCAGCCAAAAGGTTTTTCTCCGGTGTGCGTTCTCATGTGTGTGCTCACGTAATCCCTCGACGAGAAGGTTTTACTGCAAACTGAGCAACTGTAGGGTTTTTCTCCTGTGTGCGTTCTCATGTGTCGAATGATTTTTTCTTTGGCCACATTTTTACCGCAAACTGAGCAGACGACGTGTTTCTTAATCGTGAGTGACGTTTTCTTCCTGCGGCGAGCCGTCTCCCGCCCAGAGCCTTTCGGCGCTTGGTCGTCGCCACCGTCACGGTCGGCGTTGCTCCTCGACGGGAATTCCACGTCGTCACTGTCTGACAACGGAGCGAAGAGGTTGTCTGGTGGCGGTCCTCCACTTGGACTTTGATGGTGAAGCTGGGACCACTCGCCCGGTTTGTCTTCGTCATCTTCACTCTTCATCACGATGACATGCAGCGGCAACTCCTCCTCTTCCTCTTTCACGCAGGGTGGCCGCGGGTCCGCCTCTTCCTCTTTTATGCGGGAGGGCCGTTGATCCGCCTGCTCCAAGGTGGAGCTCTCCAGCCGGGGCTGACGGCAAAGTCGCTCCCGCCGGACACCTGCGGGAACACAAGCGCAGTTTGGCTCACCCAAGTTAATTATAACTGCGATTTCAGCCGAGGCCGTTGTGCGACGGGACGGCAAATTGAAAAATTGGAGGGCGGTTGTCGTAAAGAGGATTTGAAATGATGACACACCGTAAATTCATCCAAGACAACAAACCTACTCACGAGAGATTGGCCCAAATATTTGTTTTGATGGCTTACTGTGGATTTCAAAGGTCACGGTTTCAATAACGGCTAAAACTGTCTGTTACGAATATCGCTATGGGTCCCGGGGACAAAAAAACAAAACACAACAAAGCATTGTTGTGTATCTAGTCAGAATCTAACATTGACGCATGCCAACTATGCCGACTCAGACCTCTTGGACTCGGTCACATCTCAGCCGGATGACCGTCATGCACTTGACTTTGGAGTCAGTCGATCCTCCATTCCAGTTGGTCCAAAATGCCGCCGCTCGCCTCTTGACTGGTCGCATATCACTCCTTCTCCGGTATCCCTTCACCTGCTCCCTTTTAGAGTTCCTGTTATTTGTTTTTCCAATCTTGAAATGGCCTGGCCCCCCCTGACCTCTTGGAGCTCCGAGGCACCCACCCGGTGACTCGGGTCTGCATGGGACCGGACACCATTCGAGGTATCGAGGACTGAGCGGAGGCTCGGAGCCATTTCCGTTGCCGGCGCCGCTCTTTGGAATGAATGTTTGGCAAGCCGCCTTCGCGCTGCCCATCTTTCAAAACTCGTCATTTTTATTCTTTGGCTTCTGACTCCGCATGAGACTTGATTTTTAGCGTGACTCTTTCTGTGCTTTCTAGTGTATTTGATGTCAACTTATTGTTTGTTGGCGTATGAATCATTTTGCTCTGTGTGCAGCACTTTGTTGTTTTCAAGTGCTCGAGAAATACACTCAAGTTGAGTCGAGTACTTACTCAGACTATACGACTTGGTGACATCAGCCTCCTCTTGTTCCTCCTTGATGTGAAAGGCTAGCGGATCCTCGGCCTCCTCTTTAACCCGAGGAGGCGCCGATTCTTCTTGGCCAACACTCAACTGCTGCATGTCTGCAGGACACGAGCGAAAAGGACTCTGCCCGAGACCTGAAGCAAAAGTCTCACTTTTCGCGGGGCTCCGGCAGCTTAAAGCGGAAGTCAAAAGAAGCGTGTCACCGAAGTAGAGCGCAAACTTAGTTTTTAGCGGACTTTGACAATCTGTAAGAATGTAGACGTACACAGAGACTTCAAGGAGGACATTAAGGAATTCAATCTTCGAGGCAATACTACCTGCGACTATCTTATCACTCTTTTTTTCCTCTCTTGGGGTCGCTTGTGACGCAGGGCAGGCTTTGAGGTGGAGGTGCGTCGTGGACCGAGGCGTCAATTTGTGCTGCGTATCCAGTCCGGATCGCTTTCATTCCAAGGATGAGGTTTACCTAGAAATAAAAGGTCAACATTGTAAACGCAAGGCACCCGGCACATATCATGCACGAAGGACATTTCCTTGCAGTAAGCCACTCTTTAGGATTGACTTCTTATGATAAATTCTTATGATTTCACTCTGGGATAAATCCGAGACATCTGCCGTGTCCAAATTCCTCCAAAGGCCGCCTTTTCGGCGGCATCACACCACTTCTGGCGCGACTCGACCGCAAGTGGTTTCAAAATTCACATTAAGCCTGTCCCAAGTTTGCCAGGGTTCATGCAGTCCACGGAGGCTATGTGAGGAGGGGCCTTTGCAGGCGTCGAAGAACGCGGCTGGGAACGTCTGACAGAATCCCCTGTCAGAAAGAGTTACAAATCGCATCTCTGGCAGAACTTTGCCCACATTCCAGGGGGATTGGGCGGACATTGGGTCCGAGTGGACCATGTTCCGCCTCTCTAATGTTGAGGCGGCTAAACGGAGTTGTGGGACGGGGTGGCCCGGGGACTGTTGTGGCGGCCATCCTCGAATGCGCATCGTGGATGCGGGCTTTATGGGATGCATGCCGTCAAGATGAGGATGTTATCGCTGCCTTAAATTTACAATTTTTGGCAAAGTTTACACATTGTTGTGTCCCGTTATTCCAACTTTTTCCAGTAACATTGGTCATCCTGATTTTTTTTTTTTATCACATTCCTACATCTTGAAACAGGCCTAATCTAACTAACGAATTGAAAATATTCCTGTAGAAGTGAAAATACAGCAATATCATATCGTAAGCATGGCAATAAACATTTTTCCTACACGCTGAGCAATGACAAATGAGACTTTTTGCAATCGGAGCTGGACGACAATTTGGCTCCCGGCAGTGCATTCTGGGTAATCCGACATACAGTACTCGAAGCGCTTTCGATCTCTCCGAAAATACTCGCCTTTTCCTAAATTGAAGACGACGCAGCACACTTCAGACAATTTGAGTGGAGCAAACTGCGTCCCGCTGTGGCTCGCTCTCTTCTCTTACTCGAAAAAAAAGTTCCTTTAATGACATCTTTCTTCCTGTTCTCTGTTGAAGCGATAACACGACATCGCCGTCGCTTTTCGTTTTTTTCGAACCGTCCAGGCCAGACCAACTTCCGCCTTTCTTCTTTCGGTGGTGGTTAAACAGCATCCATGCTGTCTGTTACGGCACGTACGCCATCTTGCGGCGGGAACATTGAGCGCCGAGAAAGAAAAATGAGGAGAAAAATAATTCTACAGTCCTAATAAAAATGAGAATAAATGCATACTTTAATGTATCAAATCATTTTTTTCAACAAAAGTTAGTTACACTTACATTTTTTAATAAAAGCTGTATTTTCGAAAAAGTGATGAAACAAACTGTGTATGTACTGTATACAGTATGTACAGGAAAGCAAATGGCGAGGGTGTGGGGGGGGGGGTTGTGGGTTTGATAGTTAACTTTTACATACTTGATGAAGTACGTACAGTAAAGCAAATGGCGAGGGTGTGGGGGTGTTTGTGGAGAGATAGTTAACTTTTACATACTTGATGAAAATAATCCAATTGCATTTTGTTTGTTTTATTGTGAATCAAATATTTAGTCAGACAAAAAAAATATGTTTTTCTTTGTAAAAAATAGCGCACACAAAAACTCTATATTTTGTCGTCGTCTTGAATACCGCCGCAAGATGGCAGCCGGGCTGTATGTCACGAAAAGCACCATCGAAGAAGCGCCGTCGTTTGCGCGGCGTCGAGACAGACAAAAAGGGACGCGAAGACCGGCTGGTTAAATCGGTTGAGGGGAAAATATATATATCTTTATATATATATATTTTTTAAGTTGACGTACTTGTTATGCGCGCCACAAATAACGGTTCATGACTGTTTGACATCATGGCGTCATATGAGGAGAACGAGCGCCAGCAGAAGCGAATGGAAGCTGTTGGCGAAAATCCCAAACTGCTGTGCCACAAAGGTCTGTCTACTACGCTTCTAATTTTACCGTTGTCATTCACGAATAAAAGGAAGAGTAATGTTAGCATAAAAACAGCAATGGGTTCGAGAGACAAACGACGAT